CTAAAGCAGCAAGGTTCACGCTATTTTACCTGAAAGGTGAAAGGGCAAGCTGACGTTTGCCGTTTCGCGTAAGGGCGGTGCCAAATTTCTCAATTCTCGATTGAGATGGAAATGTAGAATTTATTTATATTATAAAAGAACTTTGAATTATTTGCAGAACATGAATGAGTCTGGATTCAGAGTCTGCGTCAAGGAACTGTACGAGACCAGATATGATCCTGTGTCAGTGAATTATGCAGTCCTATCAGGTCTGTATGCAACCAATATTTAGTAGACGGAGAAGATGCAATTCGGTTCGAAAACCTTGTCACATAGGAATTAAATTTTGTTACTATATTCAGGATTAAATAATGCATTTATTTCCAGACATCTGCAAACCCGGATGGAGCTACTTCAATGGTTTCTGTTATTTTACAAGTGATACCTGTGCAGATTGGACCACAGCAGTAACAAAATGTAGACAAGAGAACTCAGTCCTTGTTGATGTCATCAATAATGAAGAAAATGTTTACATTCAGCATCGCCATAATGGAGATAAATCCTGGTTGGGTTTTAATGACAGATCATTTGAGGGTGACTTTACTTGGGTTGACCATGGACTTGGAAACTTTACAGCCTGGGCCAAGAATCAGCCAAATAATTTCAAAGAAGAAGATTGTGTGCACGCACTTGGGATGAAATACAGCTATGAATGGAACGACGTGCAGTGTAGGGATTGTCATAAGTTTACTTGTAAGAAAGGTAAGTCAAACATATATAGTTAAAAAAGCTTTTAACATACCCTTTTCACGTGCAAATATGCTTCATGTTTTGCAATTATTAGGTTGGTGTATTAGTATAATGATTCAGTTTTTTTCTGGGCGTGTCCTGGTTTTGGAAGCGTGAAGCAGCTTGAAATGTTTTCCTTGTACAAGATGTCAGTCCATCACATATAAGTCGTAGCAGTTTGCCACGTTTCTTTTCAGGACAGTTCACTGATAACAGTTTCTACTTTTTGATAGAGAGGCACTGAGAATCCTGGGTATCTTGGTTAAGGATACAGAAGGCCTTCGGGGGTCAAATTTAGACAAAAGTTTTTTTACACCGCAAACAAAGCATTACTGTTTTAACTAAAGTTTTTCAAAAAAGATATTTTCAAATAATGAAACGCACTCGGGTTATTTACAAAAACCTTTTTTCGAACTACAAATTCTTTGAACCGCTTGAGTGCAAAAAGCCAATTGTATTGTGACCAAACAAACTAGACTCTCGTAATGTTTTTCGCAGTAGAACATCCGGGGTAGTGTTAGTCGCATAAACATCTTCGTATGTCAGTTTCACTTGTTTACCGTAGCAGGTAGTGAAATAATGAGTCGAGTTACGCGTAAAAGGAAAAGAGCTTTTGGGTTAAAGCTAGAAAGAAGCCTGGCCGTAATAGCCAGACATGGTAGGATTTCGATGAAGAATGGAGGAAAATCTCGACGAATCGGACAAGGGCTCGTGGTATGAACAGTCTTTGCTGCTCGCCTATCGACAAATTCTGCCTCCGCCTGAAACTTGCATCGGAAAGTGGTGAAGAACCAAAGTAGATTAGCAATCCTGCGTGAGGAGTCTTCTGGGCCTCCGCTCCAGTGTTTCTATTAGCGGTCGGCATTTCGAGTTTTTCAGAGTGTTGACATAACTTGACATGTGGTTCGCCAAAGGCGTGAGATGTTTGAAAAACTTTGGAAGCGAAAAAAACCCTCTTCGTTTTTACGCGGGTGTGTCTTCTTTGGACGAATTAATAGGGTATGAAATCTTTTCGTATCGACTCGAAATTTGGTCCGAAGGCTCCCATGATATCAATCTAAAGAAAACGTGTGGGGCTTTTCGGTTTTTTTTTCGTTTTGTTTTTGATCTCCCACGATGTAACGCGTATTGGTAAAATTTTGATAACCAAACTTGACAGATGGATTGCAAAGCAACCAATAGGAATATCGAAAAAAACTCACATGGTTTTTAAGACCAACCAATTAGGATTGAAACTGTGTAGAGGTTTAACTTGTGTGGATAGATTTGATACTCGATTAATTTGCTCAAAGAAACATCGTACGTTTACACTTTTCGCACCTTAGTCGTTTTACGATTAGATCAAATCAAAACGAAACAATTTTTGCTAGAAAACACATTTCATAATCTTTCCATTGATATATAGTTTATGACTTGTTAGTTACACTTTAAATAGCGCGGTAACAATTTTTTTCACTACTGCCTGGTATTAGTTCCTCGCGCGGGGAACAGGTCACCCTTGCGCCACGCGCGAGAGAAACATGCGAAGAAGCGCGAGATTAAAAGAAGAAAATTCAAAATAAAGATGGCGGCGCGAGGCTTTTTTCTACTTGTGTAAGAAGTTTACCTAACAGCGTGTATTTGATGTGTTGAACGGCCACTGCGTATGCAGGAGACAGAAACGAAGATAAAGATGACGATTCTCGGTGACATAAAGGTTGCTTCACATCTAAACGAAAAATCAAACCGATATGAAATCTTGCGACGGCGAAAAAGGGAGAACTCATGCGACCAGGAGGCTGTCTTTGACGGGTGTTGAATGATTTTCTAGGCGGTAAATGTCTATAAACATCAGATTGTTGGTGCTCGCGCGAACACACGCGATAGTCAGCGGTAGCTATAACAGATCATGAGCAAATGTCTATTTTATAGAATCCAGATTTTTAAATGTGCGAGAACGCGAGTGGAAATTGCTAAACTCACGAAAGCTATTGCAGGAAAACAAGTCTGGTGACCCCTTCTTTTTATTGTCTCAATATGATAATAACGATGAAAGGAATCGTCAGAAAAATTAAAATAGAAAATTCTACGGAAGGACATTTGCGATGCGTGAAAATTGCCTTTTTCTAGATTTTCTGAAATTCCGCTCCGTATAATTTTTTTAAAATCTTTGTACATTTTCCTTTTCAAGTGCCGAAAGCAATCACTACGAAAAATCACGGGGTCACTGGGTTAGTCTTCAAATTATTTGAGCCACAAGCTAAAAAATGCGTCTAAATAAACCTTTGAAAGAGTTGCCATAGAAACTGCTAAGGACGAAGTGATACCTATTTTTGGATAGCCAATGATTATATAATTCAGCCCTGTAAAAGTGTTCAACCGGCCTTGGTCAGTCTTTTTTCTGTATTTGTAGCTTTCCGGCGACCAAAAATCTAAATTCTCAAGTTCAAAGGCGTGTCGCTCCAAAACGCGGTTAACGAGGTGATTGGGACTATTTTACTGATTGAAATGACAAACCAAAGTTGACTGTTTGCACGAATCTTTATTCTTGAAAGGCAATCGACCACGAACCACAATCAATGACGAAAATAACGATTATTCTCACGGTCAATCAATCTATCGAACGATCGATCGTAAACTCAAACAACAATACAACGAAGTTCTATCAATCTAATAAAAAGCCGCGGAATACACGATCAAAGAATCCCGTGTCAAATACTGAGCTCTAACGTCTATAACGAGATTAACAATACAAGTAAAACAGAGCAAAAGTTTCGAAACAAATTAAAAGAATTTTGGTGGCTGGCAAGCAGCTTATTGTTCTATCTAAATGATAGGCGTTTACTGACTCGCAAATTGGTACGAGTTTGGCCTTTAATTCTTAAATCCATAGAGATCATTGCAATATTTGTTTGTATATTGTCGCCCAACACTGAAAAGACTGGAAAGGAAAAAACAAAGTTACAAAGGTACTCACATATCGGTCCCGCTTGCGCCAGAGGTTGAGAAAACGAAAGGGCGAAAGTTTACCAAGGCTATTCAAAACTTACGAAGAACTGACTAAAGAGACGCTAAACTTGCCTTTTATATGCGCGTGGTGACGCTGAAAGGTCCGAATACAAAACCAATAGAAATACAGAAAAACAGATAGGGATTGTTACTATGTGGCTATCTAAGATCATTCTGAAATTAGTGAACTAAGCAATAATGAATCAAAACATGAGCCTTCTGGCTAATGTCCTTAACAGTATTCTTTCAAAGTTAGAAACCATCAAAAGGATGAAAACTGGTACCAGCCAACTTAACCATGTCAAACGACACAATAATGTTATTGTGTTACGGTATTTTCTCAACCGACAGAAAGATACAACTCCTACCAACTCAACTACTTTATTCACTGACGCAATAATCTTACTACGGAGCGATACCAATAACCAATACAATAGCTATCCTCTTATTCTAAGGCCCTCTATAAAACTATTAATAATCTCAGTGTACTACTGCATAACTCACAGTTGTCTTCAAAGATCCATGTAACGTATTGATGTCCACGTAACTTTTTTCAACGTAGCCTTCCACACGGCTGACGATTCCAATAACAGTAAATAACACCAACAACTTTCTGTAGTCGGGCTCTGTAATAACACTAGCTCCTCTGGGCCCTTCGTGACAACACTAACTCACTAAAAAAGGTCTGACTTTAACCGATCGCGACTCCCTTATGTATGTTTTACAGAATGTCCTAGAACATTCTTGGGATCTGTAATACAACTATTCTTAGTATCATTACATTACTATTGCATCATAACAAAATATACTGACTAAGGGTTCTAGAAAGTTCCATTAAAAGTTCTCAAGGAGTTAGCATGACTAAGCGTTCCAGATACGTCTTCAGTTCCATTTTTAGGAATTATGTAACACAACGCTCTCCATAACAACTATGAGACTCAAATTTGACCCTCTTGCTACGAGGTTCAGCTGTACAGTCTGACGTTTTTGTGTAATGGTTGGCGGGGAGGTGTGAGAGGCCTGGCCAGAACTTTCGAAGGTCTTCTAAGAGGGAGTGGAAGGCATGGAAATCAGCGATACTCCAAATCAGTTCCGGGTACGGAAATACGCGTTGTCAGTAAGGGGCAATTAGGTTCGAGGGGCCTAACTTAACCTTTTCTGTTTCTTCTCTGTGAAAAGGGTGTTTACTGCTCCATTTTATATCATTACTAGACTTAGATGAATGCCAACATGATCTGAATTATTGTCACAAGCTGGCCACGTGTACAAATGAACGTGGCTCGTACAAGTGCAAGTGTAAAGCTGGATACCCTGGAGATGGATTTGATTGTTATTATAGCTATGCAGGTGAGA